TAGAGCTGATGTTTAACTTTTGCTGTATATCTAGCTAACATTTTTTAATATACTTAACCAAAAGGTTGTATGTAAAATGTATATCTATGTGACACGAGACATCGTGGCTCATTTTGTTGAAATAATTTCATTGGCTGTAGCTCCTGTCTGACCCGAACGGTGGAAGATGTTTTTACTGAATAACACCAGAAATACAAACGATGAGCTGATCAAGGAGCTTGATAGCTAAAAAGTAAAATAATTACATTAAAGTTGCTAAGTTCACATATTTTTTCTGTTTCAGTTTACTTTTCTCTGGGTCTGTAATCACTTTAATCATTTACATCATTTTTTAAACCACATATAAAAAAGGTTATATGTTCCAGCGGCCCTGGTGTTTCAGTTTGATATGTTAAGCAGCCTGTGCCTGTGCAGGAGCAGTATATGGTACATTTAAGATGAAATGTAAGAGATTGAACTGCATGATTAATGCTTTTGCTGTTAAGTCAATACAGTGCAGATTTAGCAGTGCTAAGGAGATGCACCTTTGACCACAGACCCCATTTTTTTCTTACAGACTAAGTTTCAATTATCAAACTGAGATCTCTATAAATTACAATTATAAAAAAAACGTGCTAAAAAAGTTAAAATATTCTATTCCTCCTTTTACTGGGGACAAAAGTTTGAAAACAAAATACATCATTTCAGCTCTTATCTACAGTAGTCTTATAGTAAAATAACAAAAATCCCTAAATGGTCAGTTCACAACATTTAAATAATAGTAAATATAATAATTCAACAAATAAACTGTGAGGTGGCAGCAATCTCAGAAGGATATTTCAATATCAAATAAAACAAACTTCGATTCAAATGTCTTTTTTGGATTTAACGTTATAGTAAAAGTTAATTAATGTGCATTATTTATTACCTGTTCAGGCCTCAAGGTTTCTCAGATACTTCTGCAGTGTGAGTCAGGTGAGATGGAGATTAGGAGAGTGTGTCAGCAGAGGATGTGGTGACACTGTCAAGTGTGCAGGTAACAGCACTTTTATACATTAGGTCATGTGACGAAGAAAATATTTCCAGGTAGGAGATAGGTATTTAAATTCCAAACATGATACCAAGGATGCTTAAAAACATAAACCACACCTGTTACTGGAAATAGAGCTGCAGAAATAAAGAAAGAAGTTTCCCATAAACCTATGACAAGGTTGAGTGGAAAATTTTTTGTCATTATATAAGAAATTTGGAATTGTAATATTTAACCTCCATCCTGAACAAATCCTGGAATATGTTATAAATTATAAATTGTATGTGTTAAATTATTGATGTGCATTAACGTCTACACTGGACTTTTAATTTGATAAAAACAGCATAAAATATTCAAATCTAATACCCAAGATTTATGTTGGAATAATGTATACTTTTAACAGGAGGCTAAAAAATAGTCAAGATAAGATTTGTTTATTTGTATCACATGCTATAAGACACTTTAGTTTCAGGTTTAGGTTAAAGGTCTCATTCAACCAGTTAATGTACATTCCAGGTGCTCCATAACGGTGTGTCACATTACCGTAAATATGAATGAAAGAACAATAAGGAATGTGTGTGTGATATTGGGTGTGTGTTTTGTTGGGGCGGTTAAAGAAAACAAAAGACAATGGTGGCACAAGCCAAAAAAACTGGGCTGGGGGCCAGCGCATGCAAGGCAGTGCAGCTCCCAGTACCAGTGGTGCTGGGAACCATAATGAAATCGTTCAGAATTATATTAAATTTATTGGAGCAGCAATGGCTGCGAGGCCCTATTGAAACTACTTGGATTATTATTCTTTCAGCAAATGAAACACATTTTTGGTAGCCAAAACTTATGAAATGCAGCAGACAAATTTATGTTTTCTATTCTAAAAATCACTTGCCAGCACCCACTACAGAGCAACCCCAGCAGCACACCAAAATCAATACAAACGTACAAAAAATGCCCATACTCAAAATCCAACAGGAATATATATATATATGTTTTTTTTTCTGAAGTGCTGTTTTGATTTACATTCATTCATACAGTTCAACCACTTTACCTGTATCTGGTGCTGCAGAAAATGCTCTAACAGACTTCAACAACACTGTTAAAGAAGAATAAAATGCTTCTCACAGCTTAGCAAAGTGCGAACCCCTAAACATTTTATTGTTGAAGAATACTGTATATATCAAAAGCAAGACAGTAAAACATGGTTTATTCCTCTAGAAGAGCAGGTGATTCCTCTCATTGGTTGACAATGTAAGCTTGGATTCATCTTTATTTAACACCAATTTAAGTTGGCACAGAAGGACTGGACATAAGTTCACTGGTTCAGATGAGGAAGAATGTAATCAGCATAGAAATGGTACATTGCATTTGTTGCGATTACTTACAATATAACTTTTATACATTAGGTCATGTGACGAATCCTGCAAACAGGAGTCTTTAAATTCCAAACATGATGGCATGGATGCTTATAAACTTAAACAACATGAACCAAACCTGTTCAAGGAAATAGGGCTGCAGAAATTGTTTCCTGTAAACCTTTGACAAGGCTGAGAGGACTTTCTTTTTTCATTGTTTAAGAAATTTTAAATTGTAATATTTAACCTCCTTCCTCAACAAATCCTGGCATATGTTATGAATTATAAATTTTGTTAAATTATTGACGTATTAAGACTTAAGACTCCAAAGAAATTTTTTGTATTCAATGATTTTCCTCTGGACATTTTGTGTAGTGATGAAAGGATAAAATGTATAAAAATTCAGGTTTTAGGGTTGGACAAATTGCATTTTAAGCCACAGGTTTGCTAACACAAGTCAATTGTTGCATAATAATCACGTCCATTGTTTCATTCTGTTCTAAATAAAATGCAAAAAAGAGAAACAGGTTAAAACAAGGAGACTTACAAAAGAAGGATTTTTTTAATGATGAAAGAAAAACTCCAATGAAAACAGTGTAACAGTTCATCTGAACTTTGATGCTTTTAAAAGCTGCAGAGCTGATTGTTAAAACCTGGAAGTTTGCAACTGTGCCATCTTTGCATATCCTAAGGGGCGAAACATGCACTTTTCAAAGTGGTTATGTAAACAAATGATTCTATGTTACAGAATATCTGCAAATAACAAAAAAAAAATTTAAATCAACGCTAAATGAAGAGAACTCAGGATAACACATTCTTAAACTGCAGGGGTATGCAATGACTAAAAAGAATTAAACATCTTATTAATCCATTTTCCAAAACAATAATACAGATAGAGTGCTTTGGCACACATACAGTAGAAATGGAAAAAGGTTAAAGGAGAAAAACATACAGTAAATGGTCCTTTTGAAGACATGCACATACAAAAACACAAGCTTTTGCAGACGTATTCTCAAACTTTTGCGCATCGTGTGAAACTGTTTCCACGGGGGGAACTCATTTCATCAGAGTCACAGGCATTCATGTTTTTATATAATGGCATTACCATGGCTAATAAAAGCTTGAGGTCCTACAGGAAGAATCTGCAATACTTCTTGATGTTCAGTGTGATTAAATTATCCATTCATGTTCAATAGTGCTTGGAACAAAATGATCCCACTTAAAATAATGCAATTCAGCCCATAAGCTTTGTTTATTGGGTGGTGTGTGTCATTAAAATAAATCACAGGTCTGGTTTGGTTGGACTGTGTGTTCGTTTGTGTATGAAGACGCAAAAGAATAACACAGCATGTGGCTTCTTCCTTTCAACCAGTACGTAGGATGATGTGGACTCCAGAGTCAGTAAAAACAGGACCGCTCATGTCTCCCACTTTGAGAGCAAAGGAGGCGTCTTCAAAAGGCTTCTGCATTTGACCTAAGACATAAACACAGGTCCTTTAATATACAGTAATAAAGTGATTATCCACATTAAAATAAAAATTCACACACAGAATGTCATGCATTATCACATGTGACCAAGTCAAATGCCTGCGTTTGCTTGAAATAATCTTTTCAATAGTGGTTCTTAAATGTTTTACAATACAATTTAATTCAATTATTGATTGCTTTAAAGTTTATTAGGTTTCAGTTTCAGTTTCAAGGTTAGTTAGTATTAATACACATTTATTGCTCTAGTTAATATTTACGGCAGCAGGACGGTGTATGTGGGGTTAATTCAAAGTAATAATGCTCATGTTCATCATAATAAAAGAACACTGAGGCTCACCAGTGTGTCTTTAACATTTGATAACAATTGAGAGAAATAAGCTACACGGACAATACTTATTTTAGTTAAATTTGTTGTTTCTGTGATTTCAAGGGATTTGTTGACAGTAAGACTTATGAGTTAACCTACTCTTCTGTATCTTTTCCCTTTATTTGAATTTAACAATGTAATGTAACTAAGCTGGTACTGCACTACAAATTAGCTTAAACAATACATCTTTTACATTTTGTAAACAATGTCTATCTGCACTGTCCTAGTAAATAAACAGACAAAAAAAATGCACACATTAACACACATATTTGGCAACCTGTAATATACAGTATGTGTACAACTGCATTTGGATCATTGTGTATGTGAGTATTTTACCTCTGCCGAATAATCCCAGATCTCCACCGTTCTTAGCTGAACTGCAGTCGCTGTACTGAGAAGCCAGGGCCTCAAACTTCTCCTCTCCAGACTTGATCTCTTCTATGAACTCTACACAGAATAGAGAAATAAAGAACAAACGCAATAAGCAGATCAGACATAACTGAACCGCACATCCCCCTCCCAACCTCCCTCGGTGATGTCTTACGTACTCTGAATGAGTTCCAGGGCCTCGTCTTTAGTCCGAGTGATATTTTGTTCCCTCCAAGAAGACGGACGACGTGACTGATTATGCTTCACCAGGAGATGAGAGCAGCGTACCTGAGTGAGAGAAAATAAAAATAAAACTTACCGGAACACCTCAGATTTAATAAGAGAGAACAGAGACTGGTCTATTGGGAGTTAAGTCAGTACAACTTAAAACATATAAAGTTTTAACTAATGGCGTTCACATTGTTAATGAAGTCTTTATTAATGCTTTATGTCAGTATTAAGCCATAAATAAGACCAACCGTCTTCCGTCCAGTTGATCGAGTCAGCAGTTGTAAATCTTAATAAGCTGTTAAACCCTTAAACCTCTCTGACTCGGTCAGTCATTACAAACTGATGCTTTGCAGTCAGACATACGATTAAACCAACTTGGCCATGTGCAATATCCAAATTGCAGAAGCAGCAATTTCTTGATAAAAGGTCAAATTGACCCAAACAGGACTGCAACCTCAGAAACCAACGGGTTGTTGTAGTGCTTCAGTCCAGTGTTAAAGGGCTGTTGTAATTTCTGCAAACCACCAGATGTCACTGTTCTTGCTGAAGCACGAGGTCACAAAGCTTCATAAGGCCTCGTCCACCATCACTAACTGTATTTATTAAACTAGTTTAGCCTTGTTTTTATAATGTTGTATAAACACATTTGAATAATTACACATAATAACCTTATCTGGCTCTCCGCGGCCATCTCCCACCGGACGTTCCCACTGGCTGGCATTGGTGATGTGGTTAAAGTAGTACACCTTGCCTAGAGGGCAAAGAGACAAAGAGAGAGAGAAAGAGTCATTAAAGCTGCACTCATTGATTATTTAACAAATAGAGGCAGCGGGAGAAGCTCGAAACACAACACTGACATATTATTACCTCATAAAGTTGTTAAGGAAACTGTGTTTGAGGATGCACCACATCAGTATGGCTGGTACAAACCGCCTTCACTGCGTATCGACTAAGACGATTGTGACCGATTCACGTGATGCAGTTTCTTTTTCAGTATTTTCATGTATTATTCGGGGTTTCTGCAACTCCACTGTAGTGCCACAGCAATCCCTGGTCTTAAAATGCACATAACATGTATTCCAATGGCTACACAAGCCTGAGTTTCAGTATCAGGAGAGAAACATTTTGACCGGTGGCTCCCTATCTGTGTCAGAAAAACAACTTATGTACACATGGTGCAGACAGCAGCCGTTCTCCTTAATATATGCAACATAACAGTGACATTAGCCTTCAGGTGTTTCTGACCATCTGACAAACATCAGTCCTCTCTATAACTCTGTACACCAGCTCCTGAGGGAAACATCTGGCTGTTTACCTGTTTAATGTTCCACTTTTTTCCCAGCAGCTAGTCACTAACAGTGTGTGTGTGTGTGTGTGTGTGTGTATAAAATAAAAAAAAAGAGTGGAAAGAAGAATTTCTCCAATAGAGGATAGATAGAAATACTTTATTTATCCCCAGAGGGAAAATTATAATGTTATAGCAGCTGATTAACAGTCACTTATTATTAGAAAGTCTTATTGCAGTGGGGAGGAACGATTTTCTGTATCGTTCCTTAGAGCAGCGGGGTTGAATGAGTCTGTTGCTGAAGCTGCTTCCTCCTCCTGTGGAGGGGAGGGGGGGGNNNGGGGGGGGGGGGGGGGTTGGATGGAAGTATATATTGTCCTGGTACCTGTACAGCAGAATGTGCTGGGGGCAGCTAAAATGTGAGAGAAGTAAACAAATCAAAAACATGTTTTTTAACGTTTTAAAAAAAAAAGGGAAGGCTGTGTGGCCTCCCTCCCTCCCTCCATAGATATACAGTAGTAGTATATTAAAACCTCGCCCAGTCTGCAGGTGAGGCACTGGAGCAGAATGACGTCATGCAGGGCCCAGGTTGAATGGACACACACACACACA